AAGTTTGATTGGGTCACAGGTTGACATTTATGAGATACAATAATGAGATACATACATGAGATACAATTATTCAGTATTTATTTAGTTGTGGGTGAGTAAGTGATTTTTGGGAAGAGACTTGAGTTTATAAACAGACAGTGTTTCTTTTATATTCACAGGTAATGAATTCCAGATTTTAGGGCCTTTTATGTGCATTGAGTTTTTGCATAGCGTGCGATGGACACGAGGAATATCAAAGAGTGATCTGTGCCTTGTGTTATGGTCATGTGTTCTGTTGAGGTTGGTAAGGAGATGTTTGAGGGGAGGGTTTATGTCAGAGTTAAGTGTTCTATGTATGTAGTAGGTGCAGTAATAAGTATGGATGTTTTGTATTGTGAGTAAGTTTAGCGTTTTGAATATTGGTGGAGTGTGCTGTCTGTAGTGGGAATTTATCATTCTGACTGCAGCCTTTTGTTGGGTGATTAGTGGTCTGAGATGGTTTATTGTTGTTGAGCCCCATGCACAAATTCCATAGGTGAGATAGGGGTAAATAAGTGAGTGATATAGGGCCAGGAGGGCTGACTGTGGAACATAGTACCGTATCTTCGATAGTATGCCTACGGTCTTGGAAATTTTTTTGGAAATTTGTTGTGTATGTGTTTGAAATTTGAGTCTGTTATCAAGGTGGATTCCTAGGAATTTTCCCTCTGTGATTTTTGTGATAGGTGATCCATTTATCATTATGTTAAGAGACACATCTGCAGCTCTGTTACCAAACTGAATGTAGTAGGTTTTGTCAATGTTTAGAGTAAGTTTGTTGGTCCTCATCCAGGTTTATATTTTCTGTAATTCGGCATTTACAGTATTGGCTAGTATGACTGGGCTCGGGTGAGAGTAGACGTATGTAGTGTCATCTGCAAATAGTGTGGGTTTGAGTAGTTGCGATGCATTTGGTAGGTCACTTATGTATATGAGAAAGAGAAGAGGGCCTAGGACACTTCCCTGTGGGACACCAATTGTAATTGGCTGTGCGGAAGAGTTTGCCTCATTTGTGTACACATATTGGCTTCTGTTGCTGAGGTATGACTTTAGGTAGTTGAGGGAGTGCCCTCTTATACCGTAGTGCGACAATTTTATGTGGAGCAAGTCGTTATCAACTGTATCGAAAGCTTTACGTTAGTCAGTGAAGATCCCCAGTGGTACTTCATTTTTCTCTATTGCTGTATAAATATGTTCTAGCATGTGGATAATAGTATCATTAGTATTTTTATTAGGCCTGAACCCAAATTGACAGGGGTTGAGTATGTTGTGGGAGATGAGGTAGGAATAGATACGCTTATGGATTAATTTTTCAAAGATTTTAGAGAGAGGGTGTAAGTTGGATATTGGCCTATAGTTATTCAAGTCTGTGTGGTCTCCTCCTTTATGGATTGGGGTGACCCTTGCTATTTTGAGAACTGTAGGAAAGGTAGAGGATTCAATGGATTTGTTAAAGAGTGTTGCAATGATTAGTGATAGCACCTGTGACACTTTTTTTGTAAATAATGGGTGGTAAGGTATTTAAATCTCCTGTCTTGTTTTTTAGTTTGTTGATAATAAGGGAGACTTCAGTTGGTTAGTCGGGGCTAGGAACAGTGTGTTCGGGTAGTTGCCAGTGAGGTAGTCATTGGGTGGGGTATCTGAGCTTGGGATTTTATTGGCAAGGTTTTTTCCTATAGTGGAGAAGAAATCATTGAGTCTGTTTGCTGTTTCAGTAGGTGGGAATTGGGGTTCATCTGGTTTTGTCAATTCAATTTCGTTATTTCGTGTTATCTTTTTTGTTCCTAGTATTTCTGATAGGGTTTTCCAGGTCTTATTTATGTCACCTCATAAGTTGGATAATCTGTTCTCATAATACAATTTTTTAGCCCTTCTTATTAGGCTGGTTAGGATTGACGAGCAACGTTTTGTTTGGTCTCTGGTTATGTGGCCCATTCTGTACTGTTTTTCGTATAGGTGCTTTGTATTTATGGATTTGAGGATACTGGGTGTTAGCCAGGGACTGTTCAGTCTCTTTGCAGTCATCTGTTTAGTTTTTTAGGGAAGTGCTTGTTATAGAGGTATTGGGTCTTTTTTAGAAAATTATTAATACATTCGTCAATATCTGTATAGATTTCTAGCTCAGTGTGCCAGTCAGTGTTTGTCACTGCTGCTGTGAAGTTATTGATAGCTGCCTCATTGTGAAGTCTGAAAGTGACTTTAGTAGTGTCTAGGGGTAATTTGCCAAGGTTTGTTATGAAGAAGGTAGGGCAATGGTCTGTGGTATTATCTGTGATTATGCCTGATCTTAAGGGGGATATGGTGTTGGTCCAGATGTGGTCTAGTAGGGAAACACTGGTCTCTGTAACTCTTGTAGGTTTTGTTACTGTTGGTAGCAACATGCAGTTACTCAGTGTTTGTGAATTCAGTAACATGTGGGTCTTGGTCTTGTAGGAGATTTATATTGAAGTCACCTGAGAGTAGTAAGTCATCTTTGTTCATGCGTGCATCAGTTATCATACTTCCTAGGTTTTCACTAAAACAGCTAATGTTTGACTGTGGTACTCTGTAGATGTTTATCACTGTGAGAGGTTTTTGTAGGTATGCTTGTGTCAGAAGCCAGACACAGGTATGGTAGGATTGTGGACAGTGGAGTCAGAGTGCACATGCTGTGGATTCCATCTCACATTGGTCTTCAGATGCATGATAGAACTGATAAATTGGCTAAGCTGTATGCTTTCAAAGAGGGAGTAGATTACAATCTTGGCTTGTCAGGTAGTAGTTTGAGAACAATAATACAAAAAGAACTTCAACTGAATTTTATGGACTTAAGGCTCAGGGAGATTGACACCAGTGAGTCCATATATCATCATTCTATCATGCAGGAGGAGCCACATGTCTATGGTGCATCCAACAAAATAAGCAGACTCTTGGATGTCACTACTGCCCGGCTCCTGCTGGGTTACAAGTATCTTTGGCAGGTTAAATCACCACCACCAGATGTAGACCAAACGAAATGTAAACTTTGCCAGATGGACTATTGTCACACCCTGCGTCATTATGTACTGGAGTGTGATAAAATTAATGAATTTAGAAACAACTCGCTCAGAAATGTTCAAGAAATGGCAAAGTACTTTATCCACAGTGGTATATTGCAGACCATTCTGGAGAAATACCCTGACTTTGCTAGCTGTAAATAAAGCATTACCACATGTGTGCATGTGTGTGTGTGTGTGTGTGTGTGTGTGTGTGTGTGTGTGTGTGTGTGTGTGTGTGTGTGTGTGTGTATGTATGTGTGTGCACTCACCTAGTTGAGATTGCAGGGGTCGAGTCCAAACTCCTCTGTGTGTGTGTGTGTGTGTGTGTGTGTGTGTTTGTGTGTGTATGTGTGTGTGTGTGTATGAGTGTGTGTGTGTGTGTGTGTGTTGTGTATGTGTGTGTGTGTGTGTGTTTATGTGTGTGTGTGTGTGTGTGTATGAATTTGTGTATGTGTGTGTGTGTCTCAACAATCAATATTTGCACCAATAACTCACTACAGTTGTGACCGGGTGTGGAAGTGTGAATTGCTCATTACACTATAATTTGTTCATGATTGTAGCCATGTATAAACGTAAGTAACCATTCTTACAGGATTCATTACCTTTGTAACTTGTGAGTTCATTACCTTGTACCTAGTTCAGCCATCACAACTTTGGGAGCCCAGTCCCTGGACCCATTACGTACCTCTGTAATCTGTAAATACCTTTGTAACTTGTCATGATTGTGACTAGACCTACCTGGAGTTCATTACCTTTGTAAATTGTGAGTTCATTACCTTTGTAAATTGTGAATTCATTACCTCTGTAACTTGCTCAGCTATCAGAACTTTGGAGTCCAGTCCCTGGACCAATTATGTACCTCTGTAATCTTTTGACTACCGCCCACAGGATGGGTATGGGGTGCATAATAAACATATTAAACTAACTAACTAACTCATCCCTTGTGCAAGTATTGGTGATACATTCTAGTTGGTCTGAGTAGTATATAGCTGCGCCACCCCTTTGTTGATCTGGCCTACAGTTGTGTATGGCTGTGTAACCAGGAATGGCATAGACATCTGTAGTATCAGGCTTTAGCCAGGTTTTGGTGAGAGTAATGATGGACATACTGGCATGCAGGGAATTTAGTAATGCTATGAGGTCATCGTAATGTTTGCTTAAAGATCTGATATTGTAGTTAAAGACAGTTATGTTGTTGTTGGGTCTAAGAAGTGCCTTTGATTGTTCTCCCGTGTAGTAATTACAGTTACTGTTTGATTCATTTAAGTCATTAGATAAGAGGTTGGTATCAGGATCAATGCTTGTTATCATAAGATTTATAGTGAACCTATAGTTAGAATTAAGTAGAAGACAAAGTAAATATTCTAAAGCTATAAAATAGCACCTGAATTATTTTAACAAATGTAAAAAATATGAGCTAAGGGAGCTCTTTAAAGCTAAAATAAATGAGGCAATATAAAAGGGACTAAAATAATTTGTGGTGAACAAAAAGTGGTAATCAAATAAATGAATATAATGGCAAAATAATGAACTTATTACACTTTAGCACCTGAGAATAGCACCTTGATTATATTAACAATTGTGAATATATGAATTAAGGTTGTTATATAAAGCTAAAACAAAAGAGAAAAAATATAAGGGACTAAATTAAGTAACTGTAAACAAAGTTAAAATGACAGATAGTCACTATGATATATTGAATTGGGAGTAAGATCTGATTATTTTTTATTAACACTGGCCGATTCCCACCAAGGCAGGGTGGCCCGAAAAAGAAAAACTTTCACCATCATTCACTCCATCACTGTCTTGCCAGAAGGGTGCTTTACACTACAGTTTTTAAACTGATTTGTTATATATAATAAGTTGAGCAATACATTGTACTATAAAAAGTAAAAGTATGATAATTGTATTGATGTGTACCTGTGCTTGTTAAATCACTGTATATTATTTTTTTTTTTTTTTTAGGTTGAAAGAATATCTAGCCACTACAGCAAAGATTTGCAGTATTTGGTGAGGTCTTTAATGACTTGCAATGTAGAGCACAGACCCAACACTTCGTGGATCCTTCACCAACCCTTCATCCGCCGTCACATCTTGGTCTTCCTCAATGATACAACTAATCTTGCAAGTGCCTGTGGCAAGAATGAAAAGCAGAATGCTGTTGCAGGAGACAAGAAGAGGGTAGATAAATTTGAAGGAGTGAAATGTGTAACCAAGCAGGATAGCAGAAAAAATTATAGCCATTATCCTGACAGGAAAGTTTTTGATATCAAACGTGAGACTCTACATGATAATGGAAAGCAAAGTAAACCAGTTATGTACCATTATAATTTACATTCAAAGAGATGCTCTGGGTTTCTTCAGACAGAGTTAAACTCATTGTGTATATCTGAAGATAAGATGAAGTTAGATGCATTAAGGGAGGAAACTAAGCAAGCTGAGACTAAAGAATCTGTGTGTGAACAACACGAAAAATGTGAGTTGCCAGCTGCTGGCAACATCGACTCGCGGTCTCGAAGACGATGGCGCAGTGTTAAAAAGTTAGTAATTGAAGGCAGCAAAGATTGGGAAAAGAGCAGTTCCTATGCTAATCCAGGATCTTGGGGTACTGAGAAAGATGGAGTGGACGATGCAAAGTTAATCTCACGTTCATTTTCAGCTCGTGAACGAAGAAGGCAAAAAAGACTCAAAGAAATTGAAATGGAAAGAGATGAAACTCTGCTGGAACATGCAAAGTTTACCAATTCTCAGGAAAACCAGTCATTCCCATCTCTTTATAATAATGACGAAAATTTTTCTTCAGATGATTTTGATTTACATTCTTCTTCTAGTGCAATGTTTACCCTAAAAACTGAGGAAGACAATGAGTTTCTTCACATGCTGAGCACAACTTTAACTGAAGACTCATCACTGACATGTGATGAAGTAGTTGCTGAAACTGTAAGCAAAGAGAACAGTGGTGAGGTGGAGGCAAGAGTCTCTCAACTTGAAGCATCTCTTTTTGATATAGTGGGAGAGGTGAGTGATTAATACTTTATTATAATAGTTTTGCTGTTATATTCCCAGTTCTTTTTACTCTTCCTATAGTCAGGTCTTAAGATATTCAAAATGGCCTCTCCTCACATAGCAATGTACTCGTTTATCGACGACTCAGACTTATGACGGGCTTTCTGACCAATATGCATAACTAAATACAATGGTACCTTGAATTTCGAACAGCTCCCAACTCGAACAATTATGTAAGTGTATTTTTGTAAGTGCTTTTGTAAGTGTATTTTTGGGGATCTGAAACGGACTAATCTAATTTACATTATTCCTTGTGGGAACAAATTCATTCGATAACGATGCTCGAACAGCTTTCTGGAACAAATTATGGCCAAAATTCGGGGTACCACTGTAATGTATGTATATTAGAGTTGATTTCCTCTATTCTGTTTGATAGTATACAGTACACTACTGTATAAACATTTAAAAGTTTTATAAATGGTGCAAAGGTGACATAGAATAATATCAAAGATGGTTGACACAAACCCACTACCATTATGGTATGCTCCTCACTTAGCAACGAATTTTTTACTGACATGGTCTTAGGAACGGAACTCTGTTAAGTGAGGAGAGGCTGTATGTGATCAGTTATATTCTTCAAGATATGTAAACATTTTTAGAGTATTTATGAATAAATTTGTTTCACTTAAAAAAAGCTTGTATAATGTGGATGAACATTATCTGATAGAATATAGTGAATTCTTTATAGAGTTTTGTGTATTAACCATTATAGAATATGTATGAAAGTATAGTAGTACCAACACTTTTATATGGGTGTGAAGCTTGGGTTGTAAATGCTGCAGCGAGGAGGCAGTGGAGATGTCCTGTCTAAGGGCAATGTGTGGTGTAAATATTATGCAGAAAATTCGGAGTGTGGAAATTAGCAGAAGGTGTGGAGTTAATAAAAGTATTAGTCAGAGGGCTGAAGAGGGTTTGTTGAGGTGGTTTGGTCATTTAGAGAGAATGGATCAAAGTAGAATGACATGGAGAGCGTATAAATCTGTAGGGGAAGGAAGGCGGGGTAGGGGTCGTCCTTGTTTTAAAAGGTTGGAGGGACGGGATAAAGGAGGTTTTGTGGGCGAGGGGTTTGGACTTCCAGCAAGCATGTGTGAGCGTGTTAGATAGGAATGAATGGAGACGAATGGTATTTGGGACCTGACGAGCTGTTAGAGTGTGAGCAGGGTAATATTTAGTGAATCAAATCAAATCAAAGTTTATTCTCTATAAGGATTACAATGCGGGGTTTAAAGATTTTGGTTATTGTGTGGTTTACATGCAATAAAATACAGTGAACCCCCGGTATTCGATGGCATTGGTATTCGATAAATCCGGTATTCGATGCATTTTAACGCAAAAATTTCGCCTCGGTATCCGATCGAAAACCCGGTATTCGATGCGATTCGTACGAGACGTGTCCCAGTGTGGCCTGAACTGTCCTGTGTGTGCCAATGTTTACAAGCCAGCCAGTGTGCGCGCATCTAAGGATACATTAGGTACATTCCATATTATCACTGATTTTGGTGCTTGTTTCTGCAAAATAAGTCACCATGGGCCCCAGGAAAGCTTCTAGTGACAACCCTGTGGTAAAAAGGGTGAGAATTAGTATGGAAATTAAGAAAGATTTTGAAGGGTTTGGGGCTAACCCTGAGAAGCCTATGCCAGTTGTGGAATCCATTGTGCCTACTTCAAAAATTAAGGAAATGTGTACACAGTGGGTTGAACTGCAAACCTTTATGGATGAAAATCACCCTAACACAGCTATTGCAAACCGTGCTGGTGACTATTACAATGACAGTGTTGTGGCCCATTTTAGACAAATCGTAAAGGAACGGGAGGTACAGAGCTTTATGGACAGATTTGTTGTGCAACAGAGGTCCAGTGACTCTCAAGCTGGTCCTAGTGGCATTAAAAGAAGAAGGGAAGTAACCCCAGAAAAGGACTTGCTACCTCAAGTCCTAATAGAAGGGGATTCCCCTTCTAAACACTAACACCATCCACACACTCCCTTCCTCCCATCCCATCAATCATCACCAGATCTTCATTAAAGGTAAGTCTCAATTATTCTATTGTTATTGTTGTTAATGTAATTATGCTATTGCATTAAACTTAATGTTTCATGTGGTAAAATATTTTTTTTTCATACTTTTGGGTGTCTTGCACGGATTAATTTGATTTCTATTATTTCTTATGGGGAAAATTGATTCGCTTTTCGATATTTTTGGTATTCGATGAGCTCTCAGGAATGGATTAATATCGAATACCAGGGGTCCACTGTACTAATTACAGAGGGTGCCACTAGAACACCTAGCATGGCTAGGCCTTTCGGGCAAACTTAGATTAATTCTTAACCCTAAATTATTGCAAATTGTGGAGTAAGTTGACTAAATACTAAGTGACTAAATACTAGTTTGTGAGTTTAGCAATGTGAATGCTTTTGTTTTGGCACAATACATAGTTTCTATATTGGAGTATCACAGGCAAACTTATGACTAGTTAGGGATTCAGGGAAACCAGTTATTTTATATAGCTGGACTAGAGTCCTGGAAATGGGAAGTACAATGCCTGCACTTTAAAGGAGGGGTTTGGGATATTGGCAGTTTGGAGGGATATGTTGTACATCTTTATACGTATATACTTCTAAACTGTTGTATTCTGGGCACCTCTGCAAAAATAGTGATTATGTGTGAGCGAGGTGAAAGTGTTGAATGATGATGAGAGTATTTTCTTTTTGGGTCACCCTGCCTCGGTGGGAGACAGCCGACTTGTTAAAAAAAAAAATGTGAACAACTTTTAATGCCACACCTTATAAAATGCATCATTTTTGTTATTCTGCTTTAGAATTTGTTTTGTAACACACAGATGCAGCTTATACAGAGCCTTTGTTAAAACAGTTAATTATTGTTACCTGTAATAATAAAAATAAATGAGCTAAATTATAGAATATGCCAAATGGTATTTTTTGTGTGTGCACTTGTTTTGTTTTTTATATCTGAGGGTTACTGTAGTATTGTGCATTTAAGCATATGTATATTTATATGTTTTATGAGTGCTGAATGATCTTGTAGGCCCAGTTACTTTGTAAATATTAAAATTTACTTCCTAGAATGTGCAAAGCTACATTTTTAAAAACACAAACCCAGAAATTATTGATAAAAATTTTCCACCCACAGGATGCAGCAGTGTGTGTAATAGACCTCCTGAAACTAGAAAGGTGGGAGGTGTGGGACAAGCAGCAGCAGGCAATTCAGGAACTGCTAGGTGATGAACTCTTCAATTCTGTAGCTTCTACTGTCTGCAACCTCAAACTTTGCTATTCCTTTAGACACGACTTAAAAAACAATTAACCAAATGAGAGTTAAATGCAAAAATGTTGAGATATTGAAATTTCTGGCCAAGAATTCAGGCTCAGGACAGTAGAATGCTGGAATAATTTAGTGACAAGTTAATAGATACCAAAGACTAATTCATAAGTGTTATTTGTTAACTCATTTATTACAGGTAGTGTGACCCTAAAAAAGGAGAAATACTTTCACTATCATTCAGTCACTGTCTTGCCAGAAGCTTGCTGACACTACAGTTCAGATGGCCCTCTGAACTGCACCATCCTTACCCATCCCTCATAATACTGGCATTGTACTTTTAATTGTTATTGTGTAAATATAAATTATGACTGAATGGAATGCCATGGAGTAATTTCATTATAAAGTAAGCAGATGGTCTGGAGTTGCTGCCATATTGCTGTTAAATTTTTGGACTTTATCTTTTGCATTCATGACACTGCTAGTTTTGTCATAAATTTCAGGCATGAATAAAACTACAGGTAACATACATGAGATGTGTGGCACCACCTGTGTGTATTATATAGGAATGTGGTAAAATATAAATTCATGGTCTGTGAATGTGATCCCAAAGCCAAAAAGAAACGTGAAGTACAAATTAATAAAATATATCCATTATCCTTTAAAAGTGTGTTAAATGTCAAACTTAAAAGTTTTTATTTTTTCAGTAGCTTGTCCACCTGAAGTGGCATCTCATCCATCAGGACAAATTTAACCAAAACAAGTGAAACTTTGTAAAATTGTCTCCTATGCAAGTTCTCTAACAGAAAATTTGCTGCCATGTTTTAAAATGCAGTAGCTTTTAACTCAGTTTAGGGACAAAAGATATAATATATAGGATTAAGCCCATATTTTAATTGCCTTCCATACTTATTACAAAAAATTTCATATTTTTCTTGTAAACAAATAAACGTTTATATTATCATGAATTTTAATTTCTAATACTGTAGTCAGTGACTTGCATCAACAAAATGAGATTTCCCATACCAGTAGTGGGTCGAATTTCCTTTCACACTTATTCATCCATATGTTCGTGGGGATAGAATGTCCTGACATGGGTTTTCGTCAGATAACCCATCATTGGTTCTCAAGGGAGGCATTCTTAAAGCCCTATGTGGTGCTGTATACCCTGTGCTGGGGGAGCAGCAGGTCCCTCTTGCTCATGTGGTTTACAAGTTAGTGCTGTCAGTGATCCCTACAAGTTTAGCACATCCCCCTGATTATACTAATAATAAGATTGTCAGTAATGCATAGCTGGTGTCTTTAGTCTGGTGTTTTTGATAGCATTGGTATTCAAAAACTACAAATTTAATCCTCAGGAACAACCCTGACTGAGCTAAATCCTAAAAGCTGGGGTGACTCTAGGTCTAACTATCTCCTCTGGTCTACTGATAGCAATCCAAGACAGACAACAAGCACACACTATGACTGTAATAATTGTAGCAGGATGGAAACTAGTACAGTACTTCTTTACTTTCATATCCACTAAAGGCATGAAAAATGGAGACCCAAGAAAAGCAGGCATCAATTGACTGCAGTTTAGCTCTTGTTGATAATAATAATGATAATTGACAGGAACATGGGGCTAGTAACCCCTTCTCCTGTATACATTACACAATTTAAAGAGAGAAACTCATTTTTCTTTTTAGGTCACCCTGTCTAGGTGGGATATGGCCAGTTCATTGAAAAAAAAAAATAGTGGTTACAAAGACTTGTTAGTAATGACAAGTGATCACTGAATCTGACTTGTGGAACCATAATGGGAAAATTACTATTAAACGAGAGGTCTTTTGATAAATTCTCTACAGCAGTGCTTAATGACCCATGTGGGTTTAGCCCTTTTCATGGGTATTACAATAATCTCTTCCTATGAAACCCCTCAAGGAGGTTCCTTGATGCTGGTAAGGTGTTCTTGATCTAGGGAATTGGATCTGTGCTCCAGTTCCCTGAATTAAGCCTGAATGCCTACCCCTCTCCACACGTGCTGTATAACCGCTCTGGGTTTAGCGCTACCCAGGATGATAATAACCTTCCTGTGAGAGAATCATTGTTGAACTTATAGAATTTGCTATCCGTTACAGAGTCTGCTGCAAGTGTTGTATGACCCAAATTCAAATTCAAGTTTATTTCCACATGATGCATTGTTTATACCCCTCAAGGAAGGTTCCTTGATGTTGGTGAGGGGCTCTTGATTTAGGGAATAAGATCTGTGCTCCAGTTCCCCGAATTAAGCCTGAATGCCTTCCACATCCCCCCCCCAGGCGCTGTATAATCCTCCAGGTTTAGCGCTTCCCCCTTGATTATAATAATAATAATAATGCATTGTTTATACACTCCATGGGGAAGTGGAACAGAATTCTTCCTCTGTAAGCCATGCATGTCGTAAGAGGCGACTAAAAGAAGTAGTAGTGTAATAAAACAAATCAGTTACTCGAACCATACTTATGTTAAGATGTGATAAATATTCGTTGTGAAAATTTCATAACTGCCCTTAATGTGTGTGTGTTGTATTCTTCCCTATTTATGCCAGGAGCAAGGGGCTAGTAACCCCTTCTGTATGAATGACTAAATCTAAAACGAAAAACTTTGGTTTTTCTTTTTAGGTCACCTTGCTTTGGTAAGATATGACCAATTCGCTGAAAAAAAATATTTATAAAGGAATGGTTGACACTTGAATGGAACAAAAACTTCTCCAGGCTGAGGGACTGACCACCTCAAAACTACATCATCAAGGGTGATGGACTGATTACAGCATCCTCACATCTCTGCTGCCTCTCCAACTTTTCTGTACTTGACTGAAGAAGCCTACTGTGTAGGCGAAACATTTCGGAATAAAGATACCTAACTGTTGCACGTGTCTTACTTACCAACCTGTCAGTATTGTATACCATTTTGATAATACTTCCTTTAGCACTTCTCACAGCCCTTTCTAACTCTACCTGTTATCCTCTCCACCCCTGGCTACTCTGCTCCAGCAACACCCCCTTTTCTCTAGCACTGTCTGACCTTAGTGAGTTTAGCTCTTGGTTTTGATTATAATAATAATGCTGTATAAGCGGGGCCCTCCTGTAAGTTCCAAGTGTTGTGTTGAGCAATGGAATTTATATTAGATATAAGAGAATTGGAACAATTTCATATTCTGTATGTTAAAATTAATTTTTTTTCATAAAACAGCTTCACAGTGTTGTGAAACTAATGTGGCCACTGACTTGATTCCTTGTAATGAATGTGAGACTGTTTTTGTGGAGAAACAGCATGAAACCTGGACACTTTGATTTTTTCAACACAAAAGATGTTTGCAGGATGGATAATTACCATAATGCATGTGTTATTCAAGAACCCCTGTGGAAATAAGTATGAGTTTTTCCTAGGTAATTTACACTATGTGTGATAATTGTACTTAAGTGTACTTGTACTTAAATAAACTTACTACCTACTATGCAAGACCATTGTGAATATCCAAAACTTGTATAATTGTATTTGTACAAACTGTATCTAAATAAACTAACCAAATGTACTAAATGTCTTATGGAGCATTAGTGAGTGTATAAGGTGGCAGAGTGAGGGTATAGGGTGGGAGAGTGATTGTATAGGGTGGGAGAGTGAAGGGTATAGGGTGAGAATGTGAGGGGATGGGATGAAATACAATACATACTAGTGGCCTTCTTATATGCTTCACAATGTATACCTGGAGAGGGTTTCAGGTCAACTCCCCCACAGCCCAGTCTGAGATCAGGCCTCGTGGTGGATCAGGGTCTGATCAACCAGGCTGTTACTGTTGGCCACACACAAACTGACATAGGAACCACAACCTGGCTGGTCAGGTACTGACTTAGGTGTCTGTCCAGTGCCTTCTTGAAGACAGCCAGGGGTCTATTGGTAATCTCCCTTATTTATGCTGGAAGGCAGTTGAATAATCTTGGGCCCAGACACTTATTGCATTGCTTCTTGGTGTACTCGTGACGCCCCTGCTTTTCAGTGGGGGAATGTTGCATCTCCTGCTGAGTCTTTTGCTTTCATAGGGAGTGATTTTCGTGTGCAAGTTGGGTACTAATCCTTCTAAGATTTTTCAAGTGTATATTATCATGTATCTCTCTCACCTGCATTCCAGGGAATACAAATCAAGGGACTTCAACCATTCCCAGTAATTTAGGTGCTTTATCGTACTTATTTGTGCCAGGTCACCAATTTCGCCTGCCTTGAAGGGGGCAGTTAGTGTATAGCAGTTGTATTCCAGCCTAGAGAGAATAAGCAATTTGAAGAGAATCATCATGGGCTTGGCATCCCTAGTTTTGAAGGTTCTCATTATCCATCATATCATTTTTCCAGCAGATGCAGTAGATACATTGTTGTGGACTTTGAAGGTGAGATCCTCTGACATTATCACTCCCAGGTCCTTCACATTACTTTTTTGCTCTATTGTATGGTTAGAATTTGTTGTATACCTGATAAAGTTTTAACTTCCTCAAGTTTTCCATATCTGAGTAGTTGTAATTTCTCTTCATTTAACTTCATATTGTTTTGAAATCTTGGGTAGCTACCCAAGATTTTAGACTCTATAACCCCACTCGGTACATCATCAGATGCAGCATTCTCCACCTGACCTCAGCATTCTGAACCTGACTATAAATACTCGTGTCCCTTCCACCCCAGGTAGATCTGTTTGTGACTTGAAAAAGCCCACTGTGTGGGCGAAACGTAGTCAATAAAGGATCACATTATACTGCATGTGTGTTTATATTTCCATTGTGTCGGTATTTTATACCATTTATTTCCATAATTGTTTGGTATCTAAGTGGTTGGCAATCTTGCTTCTTAGAACCCTTCCAAAGATTTTTATGATATGGGATGTCAGTGCTATCGGTCTGTAGTTCTTTACAATTGCTTTACTGCCACCTTTGTAGAGTGGGGCTATGTTTGTTGTTTTTAATGAGTGTGGGATGGCCCCTGTGTCCATGCTTCCTCTCCATAGATTGATGAAGTCATTCAAAATCAAAATCAGTGCAGTTTACATGTAACAAAATGTTACATGTAATTGTATGTATTACATGTAAACTGCATTTTTTGTTCTGCATAAAAAAGAAATAAAGATTAGAATTAGAATTTGAAGAGGGTGGAAGAAAGGAGTTAGGAGAGGATGAGGACAATAGGGATACAGGAATGCTGAGTATTAATGCAGGTAATGATAGGCACGGTTAGTGGGGGTTGAGAAGGGGGGATGTGGGCATCATAATATTAATAATCTTTATTTCAACAACTATATGTACAATGTATACAGGCCATAGCTGACATCAATGACATACTACTACTATATAAAAAGCCCTTTGTTATGCAGAGCATTTCGGGCAAATTAGGTCAATTTTGTTCCGGGATGCAACCCACAACAGTCGATTAACATCCAGGTACCTATTTAACTGATGGGTGAGCACTAGACAGCAGGTGTTTAAGGAAACACGTTCTAATGTTTCAACCCATACTGGGATCGAACCATAGACAATCAGTGTGTGTAAGCTGAGCACATTGCCTTTCTCAATAAAACACATATTCTGTGAGAAATTACCTGCATGAGGCTTACAGGGTATTACCTGATTATTACATGCAAGTAATTTGGGTGAGGTATTTTCTCACATAATTAACCCTTTGGTTCTTCAAACCGGATTACTCTACATCACAGACTAGTGTTCAGAAAATTACATATGGTGTCCTCCTACGCTCCTGTATCACTCCGTGGCCGCTGCACACCCTCCTTCACAGCAAATTTATTGAAGGGTCAAATCAGCATCACATTTTAATATACAATTATTGTATTATTCATATTTACACATGCTTAATTTAGGAAAATTATAACAAAAAAGAATTCCACATATTCAATACCTAGATATCTTTATTGAGAGATGTTTCACCCACCAGAGGATTTATCAGTAAAATAAAGAGAAATGAGAACGGAATTTCTTGAAATGAAGCCAGCGGAAAGGTGCAAAGCAAGGTTTGGAACAGTGCAGCAACAGTAGTAGGTGTAAGTCACATGTGGGCAGGGCCTCTAGTGAAATATCATCTTTATTTCTACAAGTACATGTACAAGGTACACAGGCCTAGCTGACATCAGTGTGAACATGGACAACCAGTGCAAGGAAACATGCCCAATGTTTCAACCAACACAATAAGTGTCCAGGGCCCCCGACTGTTCAATTGCCTCCCACCATACATAAGGAGGATTATCAATAGACCCCTGGCTGTCTTCAAGAAGGCACTGGACAGGCACCTAAAGTCAGTACCTGACCAACGGGCTGTGGTTCATACGTCAGCTTGCGTGCGGCCAGCAGTAACAGCCTGGTTGATCAGACCCTGATCCACCATGAGGCCTGGTCTCAGACTGGGCCGTGGGGGCATTGACCCCTAAAACCCTCTCCAAGTAAACTCTCGCCAGGAATCATACCCATACCCTAACTGTTGCCTATGTGTCTTACCTACCAACCTGTCAGTATTGTATACCATTTTGATGTTCACTTTGTGAGGCTCCAGGTAGCAACAGCAGCAGCAACAGCCTGGTTGATCAGGCTCTGATCCACCAGGAGGCCTGGTCACAGACCGGGCCGCAGGGGCGTTGACCCCCGGAACTCTCTCCAGGTAAACTCCAGGTAAACTGACAAACCATACCACGGGTGGGGTTTGAACCCGCGATCAGAGAGTCTCAAAACTCCAGATCATCGCGTTAGCCACTGGGCCAGGTAGCTTCAATAAGATTCATCCAATTAGGTATATTTCTACACCATAGGAAGATTAGCATAGGCACCACTGGCCCAGTGACTAATGCAACGGTCTGGAGTTTTGAGACTTTGATCGCGGGTTCAAACCCCACCCGTGGGATGGTTTGTTTGCAATCGTGTCATAACGATTGCAAACAAACAGTTAAGTATCTTTATTCCGAAATGTTTCGCCTACACAGCAGGCTTTTGCCACCAGGTCACCATAGGTCATGACCAGGTGGACCTGAAAGCTGCCAGTCATGTTCTTCCCCACGATAACCATCATGATAATAATGATAATGTTAAAAGTGATAATGATAAAGATAATAATAACAAATGTAATGAAAGTAATAAATACAATGATAATGGTAAATATAATAATAATAATACTAATCATAAAGATAAAACTAATGATAATTATAACTTTTTGGGGTCATCCTAGGTAATCTACACATACTGCTATGTAATGATAATTTATGTAACTGTACTTATATGTACTTGTACCTGATATATATCTGATATGGCCTAAATACCCATTAATAATCCACATTTTTCCTGTAACAAGTGATATATGGCGTAGTAAGAGTGACATTGTTCAATTATCCAACATACACTATATAAAACACATTATAAGAGTATATAGAATTATGTGAGATCCAAAAACTAAACCAAAATAGGCGAGAAGAAAGTAAATAAGCAAGAAGAAGATAGGCAGGTAGTGAGGAGGAGCAGACACGTCACAGCAGCAGCAGTCAGCAGCAGCAGCAGCAGCAGCAGGCAGGAGCAGCGGCAGACAGTCAGCAGCAGCAGCGGCAGACAGTCAGCAGCAGCAGGCAGGAGCAGCGGCAGACAGTCAGCAGCAGCAGGCAGGAGCAGCGGCACAGCAGCAGCAGCGGCAGACAGTCAGCAGCGGCAGACAGTCAGCAGCAGCAGGCAGGAGCAGCAGCAGGAGCAGTAGCAGCAGCAGCAGAGTCAACAGTAACAGGATCAACAGTAGTAACGGGAAGAGCAACAGTACAAGTAACAGCAGCAGCAGACAGTAACAGGATGACAGTCTCCCACAATTACTGATAAAATATATACATATATTCCACTCCTCCATCATAGTACTCAGTCTGACACTCATGTGTAAGTATTCATTAAGTACTCAACCAGTCATCATTATAAAGCTCAGCTCATTATATTACGTAATTAACACTTAATGAAGTTAACTTTATTGTTATTTTACGTTATATTAGGGATTACTTTCCCAATATAATAAGTATATCTTAAGTATATTGAGGTATACAGTATATATATATATATATTGTTGCTTAGTAAGTAAGTTTATTCAGGTATACACAAATACAGTTACATAGAATTATCATATATAACAGCATATGTGTAGAGAACCTAGGATAACCAAAAAAAGTCAGACAGAGTGACTTATTTCCATTGGGGTCCTTTATATTCATGTTATTAATTGTTGCTCTTAACAACGGTGCTTGATCCAAGGAATTGGAGCTACCTTCCACTTCCTTGGATCAGACCTGCTCACCTCCCAGGTGCTGTATGACCCTTACAGATTTACTGCTTCTCTGGTAATACAATAATGAAGATAAGCCAGGCTAAGCCAGCTATGTATTCTTTACCTTAGTTACGTTGTCATGTACAGAAATATTACATATAATCAACCTGACATTAAAATTATAAATTATTATATTGCTAGTCATTATTTAAACAAGGAAAAAAATTGACATTGAAGACTTAACATAGAATGTTGGTGGCCTGGTGGTTAACGCTCTCGCTTCACACGGTGAGGGCCTGGGTTCGATTCCCAGCCAGAGTAGAAACATTGGACGTGTTTCTTTCCACCTGTTGTCTATGTTCCCCATCAGTAAAATGGGTACCTGGGTGTTAGTCGACTGGTGTGGGTCGCATCCTGGGACACTGACCTAATTTGCCCGAAATGCGGAGCATAACAAGTGGCTTTCTATAAAGTAGTATGTCATTGATGTCAACTAGGATTGTATACCTTGTACATGTACTTGTAGTAAATAAAGATATTATTATTATTATAATCCGATAAACTACAAACACGAGACTAAAACTTATGACTACGTTTCGGTCCGACGTGAACCATTAATTAGTCACAGAGAAGCACGAAGGGAAGAGAGCCAGTACTATATACTATACAAGAGGGGCTGGGACCGGGAGAACGAGAGGAGGTACAGTACATAGATTTTTCAGGTGCTGAAGATAGGTGCCTGTTCTGTTATCCCCACTTACCTCCCTCTTTTGCACTATCCTACTCTCAAAAATGATTTTTTTGGAAGGTATCAAAAAATTTGATAAATACGGTAGACCCACTGTAATAAATACAGTGACAAGCCACACTTATTTCACTTGAATGAGATGTTAAAGAACTCTTAAGTATATTTAGGTACAGGTATGCATAAGTACAATTATCATACATTGTAAAATATGTAAATTATCCAGGATAATTCCCAAAAAATCAAAATGACTTAAGTGTGGTTTTTATTTTATTATTATCACACTCGCCGATTCCCACCAAGGCAGGGTGGCCCGAAAAAGAAAAACTTTCACCATCATTCACTCCATCACAGTGTGGTTTGTCACTATTTATTACAGTGGGTCTACTGTATTTATCAAATTAGATTTTTTGAAACCTTCCAAACAAATCATTTTTGAGAGTAGGATAGTGCAAAAGAGGGAGGTAAGCGGGAATAACGGAACAGGCACCTATCTTCAGCACCTGAAAAATCTATGTACTGTACCTCCTCTCGTTCTCCCGGTCCCAGCCTCTCTTGTATAGTATATAGTACTGGCTCTCTTCCCTTCATGCTTCTCTGTGACTAATTAATGATTCATGTCGGACCGAAACATAGTCATAAGTTTTAGTCTCGTGTTTGCAGTTTATCGGCTTATTGTAGCAACATTCTATATTAAGTCTTCAATGTCAATTTTTTTTTTCTTGTTTAAATAATGACTAGCAATATAATAATTTATAATTTTTAATGTCAGGTTGATTATATGTAATATTTCTGTACATGACAACGTAACTAAGGTAAAGAATACATAGCTGGTTTAGCCTGGCTTGTTGGTTTAGCCTGGCTTGTAGACCCGCTGTAATAAATACAGTGACAAGCCACACTTATTTCACTTGAATGAGATGTTAAAGATATCTAAGTATATTTAGGTATAGGTATGCATAAGTACAATTATCATACATAGTAAAACAAATTACCCAGGATAACTCCAAAAAAATCAGTGACTTATTTCCATTGAAGTCCTTGTAATATCTTATTTTTAAACTTAAAAAGTTAAAACAACAAAATAACTTGACTGTGTTGTGTATACCTTTGTTAGTTCAATGGCCACTTTACTGTTTTAAGGTAAAGTACTTCATGAAGAATCAGTAACTGTAGCTCTGGTGAAAGACAAGATTTTTTTCCAATTACAGTGGACCCCCAGTTAACGATATTTTTTCATTCCAGAAGTATGTTCAGGTGCCAGTACTGACCGAATTTGTTCCCATAAGGGATATTGTGAAGTAGATTAGTCCATTTCAGACCCCCAAACATACATGTACAAATGCACTTATATAAATACACTTACATAATTGGTCGCATTGGGAGGTGATCATTAAGCGGGGGTCCACTGTATTAACCCGGAGGGTTAGCAGCCCAGAGTAACCCAATAAAGCCATATCATCAGACTATCTGGCTTATTTTCATTGGGTCCTTTAATCTTTTCTTACAGGATGCCACCCACACTAATAGGCTACTTACTGATAAGTGACTAGGGATAACAGGTGTTAGGATACTTGCCCAACATTTCCGCTCATCCAGAGATCAAATCCTAGTCTCCCAGTGCAAGAACAGAGGCCACTACCAGTTGAGCCTTAAACACCTTGAAAGAATTATTAACTGTGACATTTGCTGTGGATATCTAATCAGTTTAATGTCAAGTCATTGATAGCTAGTATCATGCATTTATTTATCTAGCAACATTAGTAAGAACTACAGCCATTCATGAGAAAGATAAAGCTTCTGTCGGTACCAAAACACTGATGTACCTACATTGAGTAGCTGTAAGTAAGGTTGGCCAAATTTTATAAAAATAAAAAAATCTTTGAAACATCGAATTCATGTAATTTTGGTGCATGCTTGTTTTGGTAGAAATATAAGAAATGTGAAATTTTTATTTAGATGCAATTTTTTTTAATTAGTAATGAACTGTTTTAATTTTTTTGGATCAGATATGCAGCACTGATGTATGGTTTCAAACCATGCACACTTGTGTGCTCCACCAAACTACACAAGCATTACCAAAAATTTTGATACACTGTACAGTTTCATACTCTATTATTTGTAATCCCTGTTGCACTCTTTGCCTTGTTAATAGAATAATAGAACATCTACTGTACCATAATTACAAAAAATAAACTATTTGTTGCCTTAGTTTTTGCTTTGAGTATGAGCTCCCTTCTGAACACTTTTTCTTGTTAAAAAGCTTTACTTCAAAGTGTAGCTGTTCACAGTACTGCATCCATGTGTAATTGTTTATATAAAATACATTTTCAGACTTGCAAGATGTCGAAGAAGTTACAAGATAATCCATTTGCTGCATTGTTCTGCTCGGTGAATGATGCAGAGGAGTTTAGCAAGCGGCAGCAACAGCAAGATGACCACTTCAACTCAGACACCATCAAAGATTTGCACAGAAGGTACATAATGTGGAATTAATAGTTTATATGCTGTGTGTCAAAGTAGATCTTATCACTGATGAAATGTGAGTCTGAATATTCACTCTTAGTTAGAAATGTTTTAATTAGTAAAAATTATTTAAGACTTGGCTCATTTCCATCTTTACTTACTCAGGTGTGTGTCTCTTAAGTATAGTAAGTGTGTTGACTGTAAGTAAAACCAGTCACATGGTTTTTCAGGACAACAAACAGGATACATATATAGAAATTAAACCAAAATTAAGGAATCCTCTCAAGGGAGGTTCCTCAATGCTAGTGAGAGGCTTTGATCTAGGGAATTTAATCTGTGCTCCAGTTCCCTGAATTGAACCTGAATACCTTCCATCCCTCCCCCCCATATGTGCTGTATAATCCTATGGGTTTAGCACTCCCCATGGTTATAACAATAATCATCCAAGGAAAACTGCTCATCGTGGAAAAGAGAGAGTAAAAAAGAGGAGGAGGAGATATTCACAAAAGAACACTTCAAGCTGCAGTTATTAAATTTCAAAATAAAAATTGTCAGAATTCTAATACCAAAAATCCAGAACAAAAGCTTTCAGTAGTAATAGTAAATGAATACACTCCACCAAGAGTTTTTTGTGAATTGATTGTTACTGGAAGAACAAGCACTGTTCTGTAAATAAGCCTGTGAGAACTTGTGTGCTATACAGCCAAACTACAAAACAGCATTTCAGTAATATACTAGTACTGTGTAACTGGGAAAAAAGAAGAAAAATTGCTCATGCTGTATGTTAGCTCAAAATTTAAATATACAGCAGTAGTGTAATTTCCACTCAGAGAAAATGGACTAAGTGAGATATGAAGAAAGGATGAAATGATAAGAAATGCCTTTGTTGGCAGATTGGAGGAAAAACACAACTACATACAAGGTCATAAAAACATATGAAAAAATAAATAAAACCACTAAACAGTCGAGAGGGAAGACAAGAGGCTACAGTTGTACAGAGGAAGAGTGGTATCAAAAGAATACATTACTAGAAAGTTGTGCCTCACTGTTCAGTAGAACAATGAGATGAGGATAACAGTAGGTGTAGGAAGTGCATCACCTAGAAAATTAAAAAAAAAAATGAAACTGTGAGCATTGCTCTGTTGTTGTAACTACAAGTAGGTAATTTAACAATGACATTGAGCAGAGTAGAGACCAAGAAGAGGGAACACAAGTGGATGCCAAATTCAAGAAGCAGAAACTCAAGCTCCACAACTACAAACAAATAAACAGGAGAGCACTGAATTCCTTAAGTGTGAGCAAAAGGAATTATTTTTAAGATGAAGTAGCAGATGCAACTAGATATGTAAGTTCTATACACAAATAACCCACACATAGGAGAAAGAAACTTATGACTACTTTTCAGTCCAACTTGGGCCATTAATTAGTGTGACTAGTTAATGGTCTAAGTGAGACCGAAACGTCGTCACAATTTTTTTTCTCTTATGTGAAGGTTATTTGTGTATTGTTCCAGTCACAGTATTGTGCCTTTTTGCTCTTTATGTGAGTTTTAATGTAAAAATTGTACTACTGTACAGTGCCCATGGGATTGGGAGATTCTTATTACTTTTGTTCATGTACACTGTATATGTTACATCTTACAGGTCATCTAATGGCAGAGGGCTAAGCACAACAGACTTCCTTGAAGATTTACTGCTGGTGACCACTAGACCTGGACCATACTCCTCCCCACGGGTGCTGCTAAATGACAGTGAAAACCTCACTACAGACACTATCCAGCTCCTGCTCTTTGACCGGTTGCTGCTAGAAAACCCAAATTCTCATGTAGTAGGGCTTGGGCGTGAGGGTAGAGAGGAGGCTGGAAGAGTAGAGGTTGTAGTGTACCTTAGTGAAGTGTATGACAGATGCTGGGCAGCCAGAGACACTCCTCTCTCTCATGTAGCCAAACAGGTCAGTACTTCACTTTGTTGCCATTAATATTTATGTTCTTTCTTTCAACAAACCGGCCGTATCCCACTGAAGCAGGGGAGGCCCAAAACAAAAACAAAAGTTTCTCTTTTTAACTTGAGTAATGTATACAGGAAAAGGGGTTGCTAGCCCCTTGTTCCCGGCATATTAGTCACCTCTTACAACACGTATGGCTTACAGAGGAAGAATTCTGTTCCACTTCCCCATGGAGATAAGAGGAAATAAACAAGAACAAGAACTAGTAAGAAAATAGAAGAAAACCCAGATGGATGTATCTATATATATATGCTTGTATGTGCATGTGTAGTGTGACCTAATTGTAAGTAGAATTAGCAAGATGTACCTGAAATCTTGCATGTTTGAGACAGAAAAAAGACACCTGCAATCCTACCATCGTGTAAAACAATTACAGGCTTCTGTTTTACATTCGCTTGACAGGACGGTATTACCTCCCTGGGCAGTTCCTGTCTACCAGCCTTTTACCTATTATTTATTATTATTTCTCCATGGGGAAGTGGAAGAGAATTTTTCCTCCGTAAGACGTGTGTCATAAGAGGCGACTAAAATGCCAGGAGGAAGGAGCTGATAACTCCTCCTGTATCAATTACTAAATGTAAAAAGAAAAAAGAAAAGTTTTTCTTCTTAAGTCGCCCAGCCTCATTGGGAGACAGCTGGTCCTTTAAAAAATTATGCATTTTTGTTATTCATGGGGAAATATTAAATGTGTATCATTCAGTGCCTGAGGAATGTTAAGTATTCAGGCTTCAGTCTGTTAACAAATATAATCTGATACTTGGTCCCCTCAAAAAAAATTATAGGCAATATCTATATTTTTACAGTGAAACATATAAGTGAACAGTATTTAGATAAGGCTAAAGAGGTCTTTGTGGCATTTATGGATTTGGAAAAGGCGTATGACAGGGTGGATAGGGGGGCAATGTGGCAGATGTTGCAAGTGTATGGTGTAGGAGGTAGGTTACTGAAAGCAGTGAAGAGTTTTTACGAGGATAGTGAGGCTCAAGTTAGAGTATGTAGGAAAGAGGGAAATTATTTCCCAGTAAAAGTAAGCCTTAGACAAGGATGTGTGATGTCACCGTGGTTGTTTAATATATTTATAGATGGGGTTGTAAGAGAAGTAAATGCGAGGGTCTTGACAAGAGGCGTGGAGTTAAAAGATAAAGAATCACACACAAAGTGGGAGTTGTCACAGTTGCTCTTTGCTGATGACACTGTGCTCTTGGGAGATTCTGAAGAGAAGTTGCAGAGATTGGTGGATGAATTTGGTAGGGTGTGCAAAAGAAGAAAATTAAAGGTGAATACAGGAAAGAGTAAGGTTATGAGGATAACAAAAAGATTAGGTGATGAAAGATTGAATATCAGATTGGAGGGAGAGAGTATGGAGGAGGTAAATGTATTCAGATATTTGGGAGTGGACGTGTCAGCGGATGGGTCTATGAAAGATGAGGTGAATCATAGAATTGATGAAGGGAAAAAGAGTGAGTGGTGCACTTAGGAGTCTGTGGAGACAAAGAACTTTGTCCTTGGAGGCAAAGAGGGGAATGTATGAGAGTATAGTTATTACCAACGCTCTTATATGGGTGTGAAGCATGGGTGATGAATGTTGCAGCGAGGAGAAGGCTGGAGGCAGTGAGAATGTCATGTCTGAGGGCAATGTGTGGTGTGAATATAATGCAGAGAATTCGTTTGGAAGTTAGGAGGAGGTGCAGGATTACCAAAACTGTTGTCCAGAGGGCTGAGGAAGGGTTGTTGAGGTGGTTTGGACATGTAGAGAGAATGGAGCGAAACAGAATGACTTCAGAGTGTATCAGTCTGTAGTGGAAGGAAGGCGGGGTAGGGGTCGGCCTAGGAAAGGTTGGAGAGAGGGGATAAAGGAGGTTTTGTGTGCGAGGGGCTTGGACTTCCAGCAGGTATGCATGAGCGTGTTTGATAGGAGTGAATGGAGACAAATGGTTTTTAATACTTGACGTGCTGTTGGAGTGTGAGCAAAGTAACATTTATGAAGGGGTTCAGGGAAACCGGCAGGCCGGACTTGAGTCCTGGAGATGGGAAGTACAGTGCCTGCACTCTGAAGGAGGGGTGTTAATGTTGCAGTTTAAAAACTGTAGTGTAAAGCACCCTTCTGGCAAGACAGTGATGGAGTGAATGATGGTGAAAGTTTTTCTTTTTCGGGCCACCCTGCCTTGGTGGGAATCGGCCAGTGTGATAATAAAAAAAAAAAAATCTATATTTTTTACATTTTCTTATTATACCTTGTTGATCAGTAAATTATTATACATACTGTATCTTAACCTTGGCTACAAAATGTATAGGCAGTGATAACCCTTTCAGGGTCCGTGCCGTAGATCTACGGCTTTACGTTCAGGGTCCAAACCGTAGATCTATGCCAGTGGTATTCATTGCGCGGCTCGCGAGCCACCAATAACAAGATATAAAGGCTAATATTACCATGTCTAATTTTTCTCATTTACTATATTTCACTAGCAGCTCAGTACTACTTAATTTAGTTGAGTTATGCTAACTTGCAGTAGCTGAGGCTCTCTCAATCAATGTGTTTAACCAAAGTGGCTCTCTTGCAAAAATTAGTGAATAACACGGATCTACGCCATGAGCTCAGCTCGCTCTGATAAGCTGTGAATGGCAAATTTGGGCCTAGAGATGAGAGAATACATCTGTGTAGTATGTGTGCACCACATAAAACAAATCCTGCAGCACACAGTGTATAATGAGAGAAAAAAAACTGAGACCGTGATTTTTTATTAAAACAGCGACTTTGCAGTGTTTTTTTGTATGTTTTTTATAATTTGCGATTTCTTGGTCTCATTTGATAGAACAGAAGATATATTACAGAAATAGAGATGATTTTGATTGGTTTTAGCACTGGAAATGGCTTGAAACTGAGCTCAAAGTAGCGGAAGTGTTAAATTTTTCCCGATGTTCAAGAGTAAACAAATGACCTCACACGTCTAATACACACCAGCTGGTGGGTCTAATATACATTCTCAAATGTGGTGATATTTATACAATTATTACAATATTGCATAACAGTAAGTCTTCTATTTTTTGGTTTGAATAAAAATTCATTGTGAATAAAAAATCAAAATGGAATTCATTTGTAAAGCCTCAAAACGTAACTAATGAACAGAGGAAATGTTAGTTTAGTGCCAGGAATACTTACATTGCTTATTCTGGACCCTATTTTGAAATTGGAATATTTTGAACTTTGTGTTAAATTGGCCAAATTACCAATTCCCAATCACTTTAATTTGTAGTTGAAACAGTTGACTTGGCGATTTCTTGTGCTCAATCAATAGAAGTAATACTAGTGAAATAGCTAAGAATTTGGTCGACTGGAATAATGTAATTGGCCTAAAATGGGAGTCAAAGTCGGCAAAATCGCCGATTCATAAATATCGCTGACACATCAAAATTCGCAAGAGCATAGTTTCATCAATTTTCCATCAAATTTTTGTTTTATTACCTTCAGAAAAAGATTCTCTACCATTTCATAAGAAAAAATAACTTTTTTTTTTTTTTAAATTTTTGGACCCTGGTGTGCACTTTGAAATTTGGCCTCTGAACCCTGAAAGGGTTAAATATAAAAAAAATTATAAATGCTCAAAATAGTTTAGAAACTTTGTTAAAAAAAAAAATTAGAACATTTATACTTTATTTCTATAACTCAACATACAGTACAGATATATTGACAAAGATTAATCTAAATAGTAATCGTTAACCTTTTCAGGGTCCAAGGCCAAAATCGGAAGGGGTGCCCCAGTGTCCAAGAAATTTTGAAAAAAAAAAAAAAAGATTTTTTCTTACAGAATTAAAGAGTATATATTGTTTTGAAGGTAATAAAACCCCAAAAAAATGTTCTAATCAGTACTTACCAAGATACAGAGGCGAGAAGTTGACCCAAAATGACCGGGTGGCAGCAACATCGGCGATTTCCGCAAACTCACATTTCTTTATTTTACGTTTTTTATACTTTTTTCTTTTCTTTTCTATTTTTTTTCTTTTCCTAGTACATTTGTGGCCTGTGAGACCAGTACTGTATATAGTGTATATATATAAACTCACTGTATTGAACACAACCACACTAAAGTTATTATTATAATATTGTTTACCACTTTTGTTCATTACAATAAACATGCACAAATATTGTATAATACTAATGTTCTATCATATATTTACATATGTACAAACACTGGACATGTTTTTAGAACTGCTACAGCTTGTGGAACTCCTTGAAACAAGGCACCATGCACAGAGGTACCTTGCATTCCTCGCACATAAACCGAGTGTCTTTGCATCTTTGTTGCCATCGTTTTGTTTGTGCACAGACAACACATCTCTTCTGAGCAAATTTCTTCTTAGTTGCAGGAAGCTGTATTATGAAGTGATCACCTTCCCTCCTCAAACGCTTGGGTATATCCTGAGGAGTTCGAGGACAGTTTTGTATGGCAGGTGTTGTTACCTGGTATTTCATTATGAGTTGTCTGACAGCAGACAAACAAAATTCACCATACAGTGGTCTGTTGCCAATCTTCACTTGGTACATATATGCATTGAGCATTGAAATGGCTGAGATAGAAGAAAAGTTTCACATACTACTTGTAACTCTTACGAACACAATCAACAAAGCCAATCTGCATGTCACATTTGTCGACCAAGTGCATGTTTTGTGTATAATCAATCACTGTCACTGGTTTTTGAATACGTTCATTAGTCACTCTTATCAACTTTGCCACTGTCTTGCATTTCGTTACGGTGAATGGTTATTAACAATGTGACATCTCGTTTGTCATGCCACCGTAATGCCATGATGTCATTGGCAGTAAACACCTGCACCTCTTAACCACGAGTGCCTGCGTTGAACCTGGGCATATGTTTATGATTAGAACGTACTGTACCACACACATCTGTCATGTTCACTCGCAATAAATCACTGAGTAAGGGGCTTG